GCTTCCGCGTTAGAACATTTCCATCTAAACTCACTGGATGAAATAAAAACACACTCGAGAGTAAAGACACGCCGTACTGCAGCAGCGTCGCCCAATCAGACACGTTGTAAAATAAGGGACTATCTACAAATTACACACCCGGATTAATGGCGCCTTCACCTACTGTAGAGTTGAGAGCTGCTAGAGTTGCACTCTAGACATTAGACAAATTAGTAATTATTAGACTATTAGACACCTTAAGAAGTCATCTTTAATCAAATAACTCCAGCATTTCAAGCAGGGATGCAAACCTAGGGTTAGGGTTACACGCAAACTTGTAAGTGTGCTAATAACAAAACAAAAAAGCTTATTTAGATTAAAAAACAGGTTAGTTATGTAATCAACTTTAAAACAATAATGGTAATTCGATGACCATGATTACACGATTAAAAAAAAGATGGTAATTTTATTGTATTTTATTGTGCCACAGATCCCAACAGAGCCTTTTGGACTGTCTATTTTGAGATAGTCCCTTAGTCATTGTTACGTAATACAACCCGGAAGATACGATTGGGTTCATTGAGCTTGGTCAAAGCAAAAACTGTTCACTATGAAGAAATAGTGAAATTAATTATAATCCTGTGTTATGTAATTATAAGCCATACACATTTTATGGTGTGGAAATACACATTATAAGCCATACACATTTTAATGTCTGAAATTTCAATGAACATTCATTTTCTTCTACACAAATAAATAAAAAGTGGAATAAATATGACACTGAAAGTTTAACCTGACACAAATATTATAACAAATATTGTACAAAATCCAGGTAACATCGTGCTGCATTAAGTTGAACACACCTGTTGTTTGTACAGTCTATACAAATAAATGTGGATAAAAAACAATTTAAAAAATAGCATTCAAATATAATTTATAATTAATTTTCATATGATAATACTATGATATTTAAAAATATATATATATATGTCGATGTATTTGCAGTCTGTGTAACAACAAATATTTCATACTTAATAATAATAATAACAAATTAATATCTGTGTGTGTGTGTGTATGATCTTGTATTTTACTCTCTCCTTTATGTAAGACTACATAGACGAGCAAAATAAATGATTTATTAGTTCATTCTCTTTTTTTTATGTTCCGAGACCAGTAGAATGGCTGAACATTTGAGTGTGGAATTTGATTGATTGGCCAGCGGACCAATAGTTATGCGCCGTGTAATGAGCGTAGCCAATGGGAAGCGCTCAGTGGATTGTGCTAGAAATACGATGGCCGCCGCCTTACATTATCGCTGAAAACACATAGGGGAGAGGGTGAATGTGTGCAAAAAAAAGAGAGAAAGAGAGAAAAAATGGCTACAGTTATGCTGACACTCTGTATGATATTCGTTGCGTCTTTAAAATCTTGCTTGTCTGATGATGGCCATGAAATGGAGGAGTTTCTAAAAAGGGAATATTCGTTGTCGAAGCCATACCAAGGTAGGAGCCGGTGTCCTGGTCATGCATTATCCCCCTTCATATAAATACTGGGCATATAAATGTTCTAGATGGTACCGTGATAACATATGTGTTCAGTTTGGCATACTTTAGGAGGCTGGTTTAGTGTTTTTAATGTATAATATATAATAGGCTCGTGCATTGTTGTTGTTGTTGTTGTTTTTCTTCCAAAACCAACATGCATCCATGCTGCATGATGAATCTAGGTTTATAAGATTTATAACAACCTCCAAAGGCTTTAATTGACAGGTTGATTAATCTGAATCTGATTGTGATTGAATCAGGAATCGGCTCTTCCGGATCTTCCCATTGGGAGCTGATGGGTGATGCCATGGTAACCACCGATCAGGTGCGCCTCACTCCGGATATGCAAAGCAAGCAGGGGGCAGTGTGGAGCCGCATGGTGAGTATCACATCTCCCATCCATTAAAGGAAAAATCCACCCTGAATGACATATAATCAGTATGTGATCATCAGTTGTGCAAATGATTCACTTTCTAAGTGCTGATAGCAACGCGTGCAGGGATTCATGTCTACCTAAAGTGACCGTTGCAGCAGCGCTTTAATTCTTAACCCTACATTCCGTCTAGCAAGTGACAAGTCACTCATGTCGCTTGTAGTTTGTCTCTTGTGTGTATGTAGAAGCTGACATCCAAGACTGCAAATTGAACATTTGCGAATAAATCCCACGTGTTCTACAGAACAAATGGCTCTCTTCGCCATTTCTATTTTGTCTGTTTGTCAAGGGGTGTACGGTGGCGTAGTGGTTAACACAGTCACCTCACATCTCCAGGGTTGAGGGTTTGATTCCCGCCAGCCCTGTGTGTGCGGAGTTTGCATGTTCTCCCCATGATGGGGGGTTTCCACCGGGTAGTCCGGTTTCCTCCCCCATTTCACAGACATGCATGGTAGGCTGATTGTATGTGATGGATCGGTACCCCGCCTTGTGCCCCGATCCCTTGTGCTGGGATAGGCTTCCTGTAGGATAGGCGGTATAGAAGATGGATGTATGGATGATTTGTTGAGGCAAAGTCACACGAATTTGTTTGATGCGCCTCGGGGAATTTATTCGGTAAATGTGTGTAAATGGTAATTGGTCTGCACTTATATAGTGCTTTTATCCAAAGTGCTTTACACTGTGTCTCATTCAACCATTCTCACACACACCAATGGTAGCAGAGCTGCCATGCAAGGCGCTAACTTGCCAACGGGAGCAACTTGGCGTTCAGTGTCTTGCCCAAGGACACTTCGGCAAGACACTGAACCCCAAGTTAAAGTTTCTTTTTACAGAATAAAAAACTGCTAATGAAAGATGCAAAAACGTTCTACAGAATACTACACAGCCGTAAACACTTTCCTTTTAATGATGTTGAATACGTATCCGTGTGTGTGTGTGTGTGTGTGTGTAGCCGTGTCACTTGAAAGACTGGGAACTGCAGGTGCACTTTAAGATCCATGGTCACGGGAAGAAGAACCTGAACGGAGACGGTCTGGCGGTGTGGTACACAAAAGAGCGGATGCAGAAAGGTAAAGCACTAATGCCTATGAAGATACACGGCATTCAGTATAAATTGTATTTATGTCCGAATCATTTCAGTATTTCCCCACTGATTTCGTTACAGGCCCAGTGTTTGGAAATAAAGATTTCTTTACAGGGTTAGGTCTGTTCGTAGATACTTACCCTAACGAGGAAAAACATATAGAGGTATGATTCTTGGTAATTTTTCCTGTCATACCGTACCACAGCGTTATTCTGATGCAGGACAATAATCGTTCCCATAATGCAATATTAGAAGAGAGTAAATCAGAGTTTTAGTGCTCATCCTTGTATGTAATGGGTGATAATCTGTTTCTGTTTTGCATTTCTTTTGCATTCAGGCTCAGAAGAAAAGGTACACCCCTCGCACACAGGTACATCTGATACAAATTCGCGTTTGGCTTTAGCTGCCATTGTGTTGTTTTGCTGTTAATCCACACACGATCACAGTCAAGCTAATATACCTAAATATCCTTATTTCTTTCACAATAATTGAGCTTGTGTAGTATGGAGTACTGTACACTGATCAGCCATAATGTTAAAACCACTGACGGGTGCCGTGAATAACACTGATCACGTCATTACAACCGCACTTGTCAATGGGTGGAATATATTAGACAGCAAGTGAACAGTTATGGGCAGCGAAGGCTAACCCGTCTGGTCCAATACCAGCGAAGAGCAACTGTAGTACAAATTTATGCTGGGTATGATAGACAGGTGTCTATCAAGTGCATCGCAGCTTGCTGTGTATGGGTTTGCATTGCATCAGAACAGTCAGAGTGCCCATGCTGACACCCTGTCCACCACCGAAAGCGCCTACAGTGGGCACGTGAGCATCAGAACTGCATCATGGAGCGATGGAAGAAGATGGCCTGGTCTGATGAATCATGTTTTCTTTTACATCCTGGGGAAGAGATGGCACCAGGATACATTATGGGAAGACGGCAAGCCGGAGGAGGAATTGTGATGCTCTTGGCCATGTTCTGCTGGGAAATTTTGGGTCCTGGCATTCATGTGGATGTTACTTTGACACATATCACCTACCTAAACATTGCTCCAGGCCAAGTACACCTTTTCCCGGTAACAGTATTCCCTAATGGCAGTGGCTTCTTTCAGCAGGATAATGCGCCGTGACACACTGCAAACATTGTTCTGGAACGGTTCGAGGAACATGAGAAAGTGTTCGAGGAGTTGACTCGGCCTCCAAATTCCCCTGATCTCAATCCGACCGAGCGTCTGTGGGATGTCCTGGACGAACTAGTCTGATCCATGGAGGCTCCACTTCACAACTTACAGGACTTAAAGGATCTGTTGCTAACGTCTTGGTGACGGATACCACAGTACACCTTCTGAGGTCTCGTGGAGTCCGTGTCTCGACGGATCAGATCTGTTTTGGTTGCGCAAAGTGTACCTACACAATATTAGGCACACGGTTGAATTATTATGGCTGATCGGTGTACATTACATTATTATAGTGACATAGTTATTGTGTCATATTACTGCTGAAAGAAAACTAATAATACCACAGCGCTGCTGAATTCTCGAATCTGATTGTTCAGAAGGTGTTGATACGTTTTCTATAACGGCAGCTCTGAACGTAGTTGCAGTTACTGTAACGCAGATCACAGGTTTGGCAGATCACGGTATTATTGTTTCTATAGTAACAGCTCTTTCACGGGGAAATGGTGACATTTTCTGTAGAGAGATATTTGCATCGCATTTTTGAAGGAGTCTCCAGTGTGAGCACTTTACAACAGTCAGAAGTAAAGCTGTAACTTTAGGTTTTCTGCCTCAAAAAAAAAAATCTTTCATTAAATCTTTCATTAAATTTCATTAAAATTATTAACCTAAAGAGAAAAAAGACAGGCTGGTGAGGGAATGACTGTTAATGTATAGCCGTTAAAGCTAACAGGAACTAACCGTTAAATATAACTATAAACTGATATAAAGTATTACTATTAGGGGGCAGTGGTGACTTAGCGGTTAAGGCTCTTGGTTTCTGATCGGAAGGTCTGGGGTTCAAGCCCCAGCACTTCCAAGCTACCACTGTTTGGCCCTTAACCCTCTCTGCTCCGGTTCTCCAGGGGGCGCTGTATCATGGCTGACCCTGAGCTCTGACCCCAACTTCCTAACAGGCTGAGGTTTGTGAAGAAAGGAATTTCACTGTGCATATGTATATGTTAACCAATAAAGACTTATCATCATTATCATTATTATCTTATGAGTATTTCATTAATGAATAAGAAATTGTTAGAGATTGCAGATTTATTACTGTGGTATAAAAGGAATAAAAACACTTTAGGATTTATTGGTAAAATAATCAACTCTGAAGTGGTAACAGGGACTCCTCTCTGCGTCAGGTCGCATCACACCACTGTACGTGTTGGGGTTAAGGTCCCTGCTCAAGGACCCAACAGTGGTAGCTTGGCAGTGCTGGGGCTTGAACCCAAGCACTTCTGATCAGTAACCCAGAGCCTTAACCGCCAAGCCTCCACTGACTCTAGGGTTCAGGTTAGAAAAATGTGAAAAAATGTTCACCATCCCCAATCCCACCGCCGACTTCTTGTGTAGCTGGCTTTTCGGTATAAACTCATGTGGAGTTCGTTTCTATAGAAACGTTTTTAACTTAACCCTCTTTCTGTCGCACATTACAGAGGATCTTCCCGTACGTATTAGCCATGGTGGGGAACGGTACGATTGGCTACGATCACGAGCGTGACGGCAGACCCACGGAGCTGGGCGGCTGCAACGCCATGGTGCGCAACCTCAAACACGACACCTTCCTCTTCATCAGATACGTCCGGCGCAGACTCACGGTGAGAAGTGCAGGAGACGCTCCAAGCGAGCACGATAGTCTATCGATCGTCTCCGTTGACATTGCAAGTATTTCAAAGGTGTGGCTTATCAGTCGTTCACTTCGGATGCTACCGTTTCTGTACAGGTCATGATCGATATCGACGGTCAGCACGAATGGAGGGACTGCCTGGACATCCCGGGTGTGCGGCTACCTCAGGGGTACTACTTTGGCGCCTCGGCCATCACCGGAGACCTCTCGGGTACGACAATCCCTCATAGTCTCGAATAGGCACTGTAGCAACTCATGCTGGTGAACTAGTGTGAAATACAATGCATGCACTCTATTCCTTTTTATTCCTTTAATGACATACAGAAAACATATATATGTGTATAATGTATAATATGTTTGTGCACATAATATAGTAGGGTGTAATAAACTGTATATAACATAAAACATTACTACATTATGCTCAAAAATTTTACTACATTATTGGTGGATCATTGTGGATGCGCTATATTTGTGTCATAACGTCATGGCCAGTTAAGCTTTATGAACGATTACGACTTGTTTGGTTTTAACAATAAAAATGGTGTGGTTTTTTTTTTTTTAAAGACAACCACGATCTCATCTCTCTGAAGCTGTACCAGCTGACAGTACTCCGGAGTAAACTAGAGGAAGAAGACGACGAAGAAGAGGTCACAGTTCCAAGTGTGGACAATATGGAGCTAATCAGGAGTAAGGCGGAATTTATATGAATCCTCAGCAAGATCTTCACAGGGATTGGGCAGATGATACCGTTCACGATACTTCTCGGAAGTATCCCGTAAGGCAGCTGGATACGAACAAATTGATCCGTAAATCGTTTTTTACAGGAGCGTTTAGATAAGAAGTGGGGTATTTGTGAAAATCCCATTCGCAAAAAGCTCGTGAGTCGATGTAAATGTGCGCCTTTGATCCATAGACTCCAAAATGACATCAATGGCGTTATATATACGCGTGTTGTCTGTTTCAAGGAGCTTGTTTATTTCGGTTATGCATGTAATTGAAAAAGTTTTGTTGAACTCAGACTTTTTATATGAACGACTTGAAAGAAAGCGATCCGACAGAAATGCAGAAATGAAGACAAATAAGGCTAGTTATTCGATTAGGACAAAATAAATGGCACCCCTAAAAAGAAGGAAGCATTAGTGTGTGTCAATTGTAGCTGACTCGCTGCAGTTGCAGTGGTTGAGCTGCATTAGTGGAAGATTTATTGCATGGTGCAATATTAGTCGTCGTATTGCCTTTTTATGAAATTTTGTGGGCATCACTAAACGTAAATCGGCTATGCCGTGAAAGCACTCGGTAATTTCCGGATTATCGGAATCGGAAGATTGGTCTTACCTGAACGTTTAAAACGGTCAGTTTGAAAAGTCAATGAAAAGACTCGCACACAGCTCTGTTAATAACCGATTGATAAATGAGGCCCAGTGAGAGTGCATGTCAAAACTATAAAGAAACACAGTTGGTTTTCAGATGATCCGGTTCACAAAACTGCATGCAAATCTTCTCTTTCTTTCGCTCACAGGCTATGAGGAAGGCGAAGGAATGAGCAGTATCGCTATCTTCTTCACCGTGCTCTTCTCCATGCTGGGCCTCTTCCTTCTTATTGTTGTGAGCATTGTGGTTTATAGCCACTGGAACGAGAGCCGACGCAAACGCTTCTACTGAGCTCTCAGCAGGTTGAAAGCCGCGACTAGAACTTGTGGATTGGGCTCGATGGGTTCACGAGCTCCAAAACGCCCCCGGTATCGGTGCACTGAGCAAATGGGTTTGATTTTGTGCACAAAAAAGGACGGATGAAAGACTTAGCCATGAGAACAAAGGAGTTTTAAACGCTAAGAGCAATGCAACGTGGGAATTGGGATTCAACCCCAAACCAGCAGGACTTTATAAGAGGGAAAGTATTTCTCGGATATGATAGATGTTTTAAGTATAAATAGGAAACGGCCTTGACTGTTTTTTTTTTTCCACTACAGCCCCGATATTTATGAAACGATATTCTGAATTGTTGTTTTGTTGTTATATGCCACGTTGATAAGCAAAACAATATTGACAAAGGAATTTGCCTTGTTGTCCAATATTAATTAAATCCGTATGTTGTCATCATGATGCTGGATTTTTAGAAAACTTGTAAGCAACTGTCATGTGACCACCAGGGGGTGCTATGACAGTCAAATAACTGTTTCTCAGAAATGGCTGGTTTGATTGGAATTTTGTGTTTTTAAGAAAAACTTCATCACTGGTAGATATTTGACAATTATTTATCCAATTCTTTGTCCAATTTTCACAAATATTGTAGGCTGATATACCTACAAGCTGCAGTTTATCAACTAAAAATGTTTGTTGGCAAAGGTTTTTAAAACGTTTCAGTAACTGTAAAATCAGATGAAAAATTTGCATCATGACACGGTTTTCATTTAAAATTGTTGAGGGAAAAAATAGGTATCCTCTGTATTGTGAAATGGTTATAAAAACCAAAAAAACAGAGCAGAAATAATCTAGTCTCGAATGTTTCGTTCGAGCGTCCAACTATAGCGTACACGCCACCGAGTGATTGATGGAGGTGATCGATGATGTACTGTTTGAATTCTTATAAACCTGTAAATTTAATGGCCAGCAAACAGAACAGAACAAAAACCGGCAGTGTATTGCATGTAGTTAGTCTCACGTGTGTTCTTGTGTTGAATGTTGAGTTTGGGAAAAACCTCAGACACGGAAGGAAAGCATCATTTATTGTGTGGAATAGTATTTTATTAATAAAAAAAAGAGTTTTGTTTGAATTTTTTTCCTGTTACAGTTTTATCAGAAGTGCTGCCTAAATCATTTTTATTGACTAAAACTGTATTCCCATAAGAGAGTAAACTGGAGTAAATAAAATCAGAAAACTGAAGTTTATGAATGAACTCTATAAACACATCCAGTTAGCTCCTTTGTTCCACAAGCTTAATATCTGACTGCATACATGATTGCTGATACGATGACATGAAGACTTCTGTGAGGAGAGGTTTACTGACCATTTTTGGAAGGAGTCTCCAATATCAGAACTTTATAACACTCAGAGGTCAAGCTAAACCTTTTAAGTTTTCCAACACAGGAAACTCTTCAGGACAGAGGACGATGATCTTCTTTTGGTTAAGCCATTCCTTTGGCTGTATGCTTTGGAACATTGTCATACCGAAATGTGAAATTCCTTTTCATCTTCAGCTTAATAGTAGACACCTGAAAGTTTTGCACTAAACGTGGCTGGTATTTGTGTGTCTCAGGTGGTAGAGCGGGTTGTCCACTAATCGTAGGGTTGGCGGTTCGATTCCCGGCCCACGTGACTCCACATGCCGAAGTGTCCTTGGGCAAGACACTGAACCCCAAGTTGTTCCTGATGGCAAGTTAGCGCCTTGCATGGCAGCTCTGCTACCGTTGGTGTGTGAGTGTGTGTGAATGAGACACAGTGCAAAGCGCTTTGGATAAAAGTGCTATATAAGTGCAGACCATTTACCATGCTTCACCTTGGGTATAGTGTTCCTTTGGGTGATGTACTTATATTTTCGACTAACTGTTCCTTTTGGAATTGGTCTCATCAGACCATAGCAGATTTTGCCACATGGTTTAGGATGATTTAGTTGAGCTTTGTTTTTTGTGTGAAAAAGGGCTTCTGTCTAGCCACCCTACCCCATAACCCAGACATGCGAACTGTTCTCACATGCACAGAGTAATCAGTACTTATCAGATAGACCCACATCAACATTAAATGAGCTGCAGGAATGTTAGCAGATACCCTGGTAAGTTTTTGTCTCATCCTTTGGTAAATTTTAGATGAATGTCCTGTTCTTGCTGATGTCATCGTGGTACGCCGTTTTCCTCTACATGATGGTTGATGGCCTTCAAGGTGCTCCATAGTACATCGAATGTTTTGGAAATTCTTTTTTGATACCCTTTGACAGCAGTCAGATGACACCATGACGATGTCAAGAAAACCGTACAGAAACAGCTGGTCTTTATTTGGGGTTAATCAGAATAGTTTCATTGACGACAGCTTGAATGTGATTGGTTCAATCTAATCATCACCAATTATAAATGATATATTATGTTTTTCCCTCAAACGTTTGTTTTTCCACATTAAGCTTGGAAAATGTTCTAAAATGATGTATCTTGGTTTCATTATTTTAAAACACACACACCATTTTAACACTATAGATTTAAAA